CCAGATTTTATGATCAATACTTTATCCCTCTTTTGGTTGGCCTCAATCTCCCAATACTGATCCTGTGGCAAAACACAACCTGAAAGGAAATAAAAGAATGATCAATGGAAGGCAAATGGGGAGAAGGTGGTGAAGAAGTTCACTGGATATAAATGCCTAAATCAAATTTGTAATATCAATTTGATTTGATTTAGGCCAAGTGATTTTATTGACATGGATTTTTTTTTCCGTGTCAGGAGCAATTTGAAAAACTGCATGTTGCTTCTGGTGTGAGAGAATTGGCTGTCTGCAAGGATGTTGCCCATGGGACGCCCGAATGTTTTACCATCCTATGAGAGGCTTCTCTCATGTCCCTGAATGAGAAGCTGGAGCTGACAGATGAGAGCTCACCCTGCTCCCTGGATTTGAACCTCATACCTTTCGGTCAGCAGTCCTGCTAGCATAAGGGTTTAACCCATTGTGCCAACGGGGGCTCCATTGACATGGATAAAGGTAACACTAAAGAGATTGTCACTTTTCATAGTGCAGACAGGACCATGTAGGAGGATTCTAAGGCCAAAACAGAAATTTTTGTTCACAAGAGTGTGTTCTACTCCCCCCCCCCCCAATTATACCTGGACATTTAAATTCTACTTCATATTAGTTGCAGAGATGCAAAACCAAAACGTAAGTTAATTGTGATGAATTAATAGCGCTTTCATTTAACTACAGATTGAAATGGTCACTTCAAAAGGTTTGAAAACCATTAGAAGCTTTGATTTACGGGTTATGATCAAACTCTACAATCGCAAAAAATGAAAAATGTTGACCAATTTCTCAATAAACCACAACCAGTTTTCTGATAAAAGTCAGTGACTCAGAACTCCCTAATCAAATTATTATGTGAGAGAATGTACAGTAATAACAAGGGGAGATGATAACAAAGCTTATCAAATATGTGGTTTTCCAATTCAACAAAACCTCTGAGTAAACCTTTTCTGAAAATAGGCCTCTTCTTGCAATTATGTGTCTCTGAATGTTGAAGATGAGACATTTTCAACTGAATGTTAAATTAAATATTTGTTTGCAACTTATCATAATATGTTTGAAATCGCCGATCATTCCTATTCTTAGCAGAAATGTCTCGGTTAATGTCAAAAACTAATAATACCTAATAATATAGCTGAAAGTTCAGAATATGAATTACACCTAAGCACAAACTTAATATGTTGTATATTTTTTGGTGAAATTTACAGTAAGTTATGTCCTTGATTTCAATTTTAAAAATGCAATTTTTATCAACTATACAAAAAAACAAAAACAAAAAACCAACATATAACACAAAGACAATTGAGACTAATGAATACAATTCTTTCAGGCAGCTAAAACATTGATTCTAGTTCTTGGCACAAACACCTGGTAGCTCATTCACAATGTGTCAGTGATTATTAACATCTCCATGGGAATGCCATTCTGCTTGGTACCATTCATTGTTTTCCATGGCTGGCTATGATTTCACAAATCCATTTGATAAATTAACCCATCACATCAAAAGGATATGTAAGCTGTTGAGGAACCAGGGAGAATTTCACCAGAATTTAAGATACTATATTTATAGGGACATCAATAAATGTATTCTTTTCCTCCATGCTTTCCTATTTCAGTCACTCCAATAGCCTAAGTGGTGTTTAACATTTAAGAACTAAATCAGGCTAAAATGCTAGGAATTCTCTATTGGTGCTTTGGAATACATGTACCACACAGAAGATATAGATTATATTTCATCAGCAGTTAAACCAAAAGGAGGCCAAGTAAAAATTGTAATTGGAGTATTTTTCTGCTGAGAGAGATCTCAATATGTATTCCCTTGTTTGCTCACTGTATTGAGTCTGCAAAAAACTGGCCTTGGAAACTGGTGTAAGCAAAGACCCATATAACTATAGCATACTTTTAATATTTTACTCACAATTCCCAACAACTCAAATAGAACCCTTAAAAAAAACACAGGTCATTCTTGAGGACATAAGCTTATTAAATTTTGCACAATTTATCGTGCCAGATAGTATCAGTGACTTCTGCAACATACTTTTGGCCTCCAGTGCTACCTGGACCCAAAATGATTTCCAATCACATTACATAGAATCAAGTTGGAAAGGTACTTTTGAATTTTTGAAATGATGATGGTTATTATTTTAGACATTTATATCCCATCCTATCTCGACCTCGGCAGAGGGACTCAGAGCCATTGACAACAAAAGCATAAATATACATCTTAGATTAAAAACAGTGTAAAATATTATAAAAACATCATAAAAGCAGTAAATCATTAGAACAATCGCCAGAATTAAATCGTCGTCCTACACACAGTCCATTCGAGTCCATCAGATTCCATTCAACCATAGTTCTACCATCATGTTGGTCTAGTCAACAAAGGTCTGATCCCACAGCCAGGATTTCACCTTTTTCCAGAAGGTCAGGAGGGAAGGAGTGGATCTGATTTCAATTGGGAGGGAATTACATAGCCGAGGGGCCACAACAGAGAAGGCCCTGTCTCTTGTCCCCACCAACGATTATGATGATGGAGCGACAGTGAGCAGGGCTTCCCCTGACGATCTTAAGATTCTTGGTGGTTCATAGCAGGAGATACGTTTGGACAGGTAAACTGGGCCAGAACTGTTAAGGGATTTATAGGCCAATGCCCGCACTTTGAATTGTGCTGAGAAGCTAATGGGCAGCCAGTGGAGCTGGCGTAGCAAGGACGTTGTGCGCTCTCGACATCCCACTCCTGTGAGCGATCTGGCTGCCAAGTGTTGGACTAGCTGAAGCTTCTGACCAGTCTTCAGAGGCAACCCTATGTAGAGTGCATTGCAGTAATCTATTCAGGATGTAACCAGAGCATGGACTACCATGGCCAGGTCCGACCTCCCAAGGTATGGGCACAGTTGGTGCACAAGTTTTAATTGTGCAAAAGTTTCCCTGGCCACCACTGAGACCTGGGGTTCCAGGCTCAGCAATGAATCCAGGATCACTCCCAACCTGCAAACCTGCGTCTTCAGGGGGACTGTAACCCCATCCAGCACAGGCTGTAACCCTATGCCCTGTTCGGCCTTCAGACTGACCAGGAGAACCTCTGTCTTGTCTGGATTTAGTTGCAATTTGTTCAATCTCATCCAGTCCATTACAGCTGCTAAGCACCGGTTCAGGACCTGGACATCCTCCTTAGTAGCAGGTGGGAAATGGTGATAGAGCTGGACATCATTGCATATCCCCTCCACCCTTTTTATTTTTGTATCCTTGGGATGATGGCTTTTGCTTCAAAGGTTTTGAGTTTTTCCCTTTATATCCATTGTCATCCCTAACAGTATATTAGACCTTTAAAAACGACTCTGAATAATAGGTTAAAACCCTGAAATATGGTTTTATTATAAGAATAGTGAGAAAACCTCAGAAATACAAGTCATACATGGCAACCTGATACTTTCACATTACACATTGGCATTGGTGGACATAACAATGCATTGATTACTATATTAAGATCAGAATTTTTAACTTGAAATAAAAGAGATTGTTAATCTACATTACTGGTACAGTTGGGTTTTCCTGATTTGTAACATGAAACTTTAAAAACCTGAGAGAAAGGTTTCCAAAAGCACAGGTAGGGCGTGTGGACTGACTGATGCCAATCTGGATGCCTAACTGTTCAATTATATGTATGTATGTTGAGAGGAGAATCCTATTTTCTCTAGATCTCTACTCCCAAATGGTTATGTACAGTACTGCTAATGTCATTGGAAGAAAAATATGGTACCGTGGACACACCACAATAAAAACTGAATGGAGGTCAGGCAAAAAAGGGAATGCATACAGCACCCACAAGGTCCATCACTAGCTATTTTTTCAACCTGGCATCTTCCTGTGTACATCAGAGCCTGAGTATGTGAAATAATTCAACTGGAAAAACTACATTATCAAAGGCCAACTCAGTGCAAACTGTGACAGAGCCACTAATGGCCACAGTATTTTTAAGGACAGCATTGTCCATTTCTGGGAAGAATGCCAGCCTATTCATAGGCAAGCTTGGGATATGCCAACAAGGCTCACTTCAAATATTTTGGTTTCGAACACTAAAGAACACTCAATCTTTTCATGAAAACACCTCATCCCTCATCTAGAAATACTACATCACTTTGCCACCTACATATCTCCCAGCTAGATGTGGATTTCCTTCTACCTGAATGCAGAATCTTGCAAATTTACTGCACTTTACAAATTATGGAATTGTTTCCATCCTGGTTACACTTCTTCTTTGTCCGCAAACTTACAGCCTAGAGCTCTATATCTTCTGGAAGCATTTCTTAGCTAAGTTCAAGTAACTCTCAATTTTAATATGCTCAAAGATGTCCAAAATGTAGCATTCATGGCTTTATGTCCATCCACAGGAAAAGCTCAAATAACAAATACTGTATTTTCTAATAAGGCTATGGAAGACATTACCTGAAACTATCTAAAGTGAAATGAGAAATTTATTAATACAAGCAATTAAGTAAGTGTACCACACAAGAATAGTGGAGATGCTCTCCACAATGTCAAACGGTTTTCATGTACAGAGCTGTGAGAGAGCTGAAAATCCCACAGTGCAATGTCATTCCTGTAGGATTATTGAAAGGAAACTGAATGGCTGACCTGGTCAATAACATCTCAACAATTAGTGGAGCTGAGGAAGACATAGCCCTTTTCTATTGAAGAACAAAACCAGATACTTAAGGACTCTGCAAGAGAAAAATGGGACCCTCCCTCCAAAATATACAAAACAGAGAAGATATCATTTTGTCCTACCTGAACCTGGTTAGCGTGCACAACACATTCCTAATTATCCTGAGGCAAAAGCTACTACCATGTTTTTAACTAACACAGTAAAGCAGGGGATAAGATCATATCATAAAGATGACATGGATTTACTTAAGGATGTTTTAAAAGAAGCAACATACCAAATAGAATGTTTAATCTTTCATCCAGCCATGAACACTGCCATTTTTTTTTACTGAATTTAATATCTTCACATGTCACAAAGTTGATTTCAAAACTTCTATATATGGCTAATCCTGTGTATGGGCACATTTAAGACACATGAAAGTAGCATGTTGGGTTTTTTTAGTGTGTTGCAAGACTCAATACTTGATGATGCTAAAGTAACAAAATAAAACAATTGTTAAGCACCTCCTCGTTCTGTATCTGCCCTGATTCTTGATGCTTTTAGCAACAATTCCACCACTTCATGTTTTTGCTATATGGCAACAGATCATGTAAAAGTAGTATGACTTTTCTTTAGTTCCAGGGTGACATGCAGGGACCTGGAATTGGGGAATTAAAAAACAAAACAAAAAACAGCTCCTGAAATTTGGAGAGGAAGTGGGGAATAATACTCAAATGTTCTCAGTCTAGGACACATTACAAACACTAAAATTACTTCCCTTTTAATATTTAGGCCACTTTTAAAAGTTCAAGAGTAGACAATTTTTTATATTCTACCAGAAAATAAAACATTGAATGGGAAGTGTAGCAAAATTAATATTAAGGCCAAGCCTCCACCTGAAGCTGCAAACTATGGCACAAATGATGGTAGGTATTAATAGAATACCAGCCAAGGCTTAATGTTAATCATTCTTCGTAAATACAATCATTCCATTAAAACTACCATACCAGATTCATATACTACTACAATTCTAATACATTTCCAGCATTCAGCCATTCAGATGCGGTACTTCTGATGCGCTCCACAATGTTTTGGTTTTTGTGTCTAGAGACCACCATCATATTCAAGGGATATCCTTCACTTTTAAGACTGTTACAAATCTGATTTTTTATTATTCTGAAATGATAGAATCTTAAGACAAAATCCGCAAATTTTCTGTCTTAGAAGAGATGTGGTTCAATGCCCATTTGATGTGTAATGAGACTTCCTTTAAAAATAAAAGGAAAAAAATTATTAAAGTTCATAACGATGTAAATGCAACCCTTGATTTTGACTCAGTTTTTGTAAGCGTAGGCATCACAAGATCAAGTAGTTTCTTCAGAGCTGCTCTTGCTATGATGCTTGACGAACCTTTTGCCATTCCACAAATTCATCAAGAAGAACAGGCCCTGGAAATGGAAGAATGCCAGTTACAAAATGCACTTTAAGCTTCTTGGCAACAACAAGACCAAACAGCATTAGCTCAAATCATGTTAACATTGAATAATCTCTCACTAATTTGAAACTGAATTCCACAACTCTGCAGGTGTTTTCTAAAACGGTTTACAGAAAGAATATACATTTTGAAGCAAATAAAAAATGTCACTACCATGCTTGAGAAGAACAAAGAGTAAAAATTAAGGAAACCTGGGTGACACCACATTTAATCTTTCAAAAAAAATATGAGGTTTTTAAAAGTAAACCCGAGAGTTTGTTGCTGGTAAGTGATTTTTGTTTATTCTGCTGATGATAAAACACACCAGTATTTCTTAGGAAGAAGAAGGGAAGGAAATTAGCAGTCTTTGGAAAGAAGCAGAACAGGAAACCTTCCACTTTTCAAAGCGCAGTGCTTCTGGAACAACATTCTGCTCTGAATTGCATCTTATGTGTGCATTTTTGCTAGGCCTTTGTGGTCGTATACAGTTGGTTCTCCACATTACTGGGTTTAACTTTTGCAGATGTTATAATTGACATATCTGACTAATTTGTGTTATCTGGGAATCTTAACCTTCAGCATGACTCCATAGTCAATTTCTGCTGAAGCCAACCACAGAATTGTACTGGAGGACCTAGCAATTACTTCTCCAGGCATTTGTGGCAGAAGTTGACCACAAAGGACACAGAGATTCCTAGAAAGGTGTTCTCTCAGGTTAAAAAACCCTGTGTTTTTAATTCATTTTTTTCACCTTTTGCTGGAGTTATGTGTATGAAAGCTCAGGAATACAAAAGCTAAAGTTTACTAAATAGTTAAAAAGGGTTAATTGGGGGGGAGGATAAGCTTCAAGTATGAGTAAGACCAATCAGTAGGGCCTCTTCATAAAGCTCTTGTTCATGAAGAGACATGACAAGAGCAGTTCCCCGAGGGATCTGTCCTGGGCCTGATATTGTTTAAATACATTCAAACATAACAAAACTGAGTTATACTCACACGCCCCATCTTCATCGTAGTTGCTAAGATCTGCATGGACAGTTCTGCTGAATTCTAACACATTGTACCACTGATCTTTGTTAATTACTCTGTATTTTGACTGCTACAGAACAATAAGAGATTGGGTCTCAGTCAACAAAATGTAGTATAAGAGAACAATCACACAGAAATCATGCATTTTTCTTCTTCATACAGGCAAGAAATTATTGTGGTTTTTAGTGTAGCTATAAATGAGCCAACTTGACTGTTAAAAAAAGAGACTCTTTTGGGAAAGGTAACAAAGGGAACCATTGCATGGGACATAAAGGCAGACATGAAAACATAGTGAAAGGCAGCTGATATAATATAATGTAAGTAGTAAATAAGACTAAAAAAGATACCACTTCTTTTAACAGAATAATATGGTTTATACATGAGTATATTTCCTTTTCAGGATTGAAAAGGAAATATCTGAATAGAGAAGTGTGCTAATTTCACAAAGGGAAATAATGATTTATCCTAGCAGCAGAGGTGAACAAAGCAGAAAGCATTCCATGCCAGAACCATCTACCATATATACTCATATATAGTCTCACTCTCATATATAAGTCAAGAGCAGGTTTTGGTGCCAAAATCATGGATTCTGATTTGACCCATGGATAGGTCAAGGGTCATTCTGCAGAAAGGGAAAAGCACCACAGATGCTTTGAAGCTAGTCATCTCTGGTCACTAGCCACCACTTCCCTACCCAGGCATTCAAAAAGGCCAGAGGTTGGATTACGATGGAGCCAGTAGAGGGGTTCAGTGATTCTTTTAGGTTCTTCCAGAAGAGATTAAGCTCTCGTTTTTACCACTCTACTCAGACAAAATAATTTCATTTTCTGATAAGAATTAAACGCAATATTTATACTGACCCAGTTTTTAAGGTCATTTTTTGACTTTTTCTAGACTTATACATGAATATATACAGTAGCTCTGAAATCACGAAGTCTAATATTGTTTGTCCAATCTAAAGCACTTACAACCATTTATATTTATCTTTTGTTTCTAAAGAAAAATACAGGGGAGTAGGATGTATGCAAAACTACTTGTTTCTTTTGAAATTATATACAAGCAAAGAAGTAAATTTGTGAGGAGTGCTATGAGTGTGTTTTCCTGAATGGCAGGAGGTTGGGCTCGATGGCCCTTATAGTTTCTTCCAACTTTATGATTCTATAAAATAAAAGCTCATCCTAATGACATTAAATATATTGTCACTCTTCTCTGTGCTTTTTAGACAGTATTCCAAGGCAAGTACACAGCACTCAAATTTAAAAACAACCAGTTACTCAGCTAGTTATCTTACGAGAAGTTTCAAGTGAGGAGTCAGTACATAAAGGGCAGGGCAAACAGTGTGAGGTGGTCTCATAGTTTCTATAAACTTACATATATTACTGATCAAATATCCAGCACATTTAATTTTTTGAAATTTAGATAAGCATACCTCCAAGTATTGGTAAAATACTGAAAACAATGGCCACGTTCTTCCAAGTAGAAGTGCTAACATAGATTTTGCAGTGTCAATATCAAGACTTCTCTGGTCTTTATCCTAAATTGGTTAAAGAAAACATAACTCAAAACACAAATGATATTAGGGACCCCAATTCATGATGTTCTGAATAGGAGATGTGCACTTACCCTTGCAAAATCAAATGCATATCTGTAGATATTCTTAAACGTTGAAATGTCATTCAGTTGTGACCGCAAAAAATCAAATTTACTCTGCAGTTTTTCTGTACAGTCACATCTTAAATAAAGAAATATAAAGAAAGTTTTATGCTAAATTCATAACTGGGATGAGATAGGTACAAATGCTTCCCTGTTTCAATGGTTAGATAATCAAGGCTCGAAGCATTTCAAAGCTCTCAACACATGGTGGTGTACTAAGGCATACCCCGGCATTCTTGTATATAGTTATTCTATCTACTGTCTTCTTTTACAACCTGCAGTCTTCCAAATGTTTTTGGGTGCAGCTTCTATGATCTTTCAGAACTGGCTATGTCACCTGTGACCAAAGGAAGCTGCCATTAAAAAAATTTGGAGGACAAGAGTCTGGGAAAGGCTACTATGATGGAAAAAGTGCACTCATGCTAATAATAAATGTGAGTCAGAACAGAATGATGGATAAACATTACATGGTGTCAGGGTGTGTGGAGGCAGGAGTGTAAATCTTTGATTATTTAATCCCTACAAAAAAGATATTCATTTCTCTAGGTTTTTTTTCCACTACAGAAGAAAGCAAATCCTAAGCACAGTTTTGGCCTGGATGTTATTTTGCATAGAAATACATTCAGAGCTTTTGCTTTAATATCATGGTGCTGTTGGTTGGTTTGATTTTTGGCAAACCCACATTTCTGAAAGTAAAGTGTATTTTTGTGCATATGAAAAATATTGTTTCCAGAAATCCATGTTTTTGTGTGTGAACGAAAGTAGTGCTTTTTGTGCTTAAAACATGGAAGACTCACCCTGTAAAATGTATTTTTGCATGAAAAATTATTTTTTCATGAAAGCATCCATTTTACACAAAAACACGTTTCAAAAATGTGGATTTTTCACAAAATCTATTATTTTCATACAAAAAATCCCATGTATATTTCTGTGCAAAATCACAGAAATTCTTTGGGGTCCATTAGCACCAGGCAAAGACTGTGCAAAATTCTTGCCTCTGTGTTATTCTTCCTGCTCAGGTTTCCTGTATTTCAGGGATCCCATTTTTCAGCTGAGAAATTAGTAAGGGTAATTATTCTTTTCATCCATACTTGCAGAAATGATGGCTGAAATGAAAAATAAAACAAGAAAAATAGTGGACAACCTGTTCCAAATAATATGGTAAGGTCTTCTCCATGTTCATAAGAGCCGAGAAAGCCAGGAATTTGTTGTCAATACCCTATCTTTTCCCAACTCAGAGAAATTTAATTTTTTAAAATAAACATAGCTAAACATTCACAGCATAGAAGAGTTAAAAATATAATTACAGCTACTTAAAAATGTAAAACCTCTTAAAAGCAAACCATTAAAACCAAAACAGTAAAAAAAGAAAACCCAGCACAATATGTAAGGTTTTTCCCCCCTGAGCAGCCAAAACAAACAAGTCCTGCAGAAAAAGAGCAAGGTGGGTGCCACTCTATCTACTCTCTCAGAAACAAGTTTCAGAGCCTGGAAGCAGCCACTGAGAAGGCCTTCATGCATATTCCCACCAGATGTACCATTGAGTGTCGTAATATAGAGAGAACGGCCTCCCTAAAAGATCTCAAAACACAGGCAGAATCATACAGGGGAATATGGCCCATTAAATAACCCGAAGTTGAGTTGGTTAGTTCCAGTTAACAACCTGGCTGGGGCTCTTTAGATCAGCTGTTTAGATCAAATTGCAAGTGTAACTAAGGGTGTTAAGAAATGTGCCATTCTGGCCAAATTTGATGTCTCAAGGAATGTGTGCAACTGATTCTCAAGCCATTAGTGTACAAATGTACTCCTGGTTACTGCTGAGACCTGAGCCATCAATTTCTGGGCTGAGAACCTGGGAGATATCTACAATCTACTGAGGAGGGCCTTCTTTGGTCCCACCACCCATTCAAGCACACTTATTGGGTATATGGGAGAGGGCCTTTTCGGGGGCTGCTCCCAGGCTGTGGAACTCCCTCCTTAGAGAAACCTGAATGGCCTCATCCCTGCTGGCCTTTCGCAAGTAGGTCAAGACCTTCCTCTGCCAGGAGGCTTTTGAGGAATGGTAAGGGGAGGCTCTGAGAAGGGTGGGTGGGGTTGAGGGGATATGAGTTTTGAAGGCTATTTTAATGTATTTTCTGTATTTTAATTCTGTTTTTAATACGCTGTTATTATTTAATTATTTTTTTTACTTTTGTATTACTCTTTTAAAACTGTTTAGTGTGGATAGATTTATTTTAAGACAAATTATAGAATTAAAACAAAACAGAGCACAAACATTCAGAAGAGTATGTGATGAAATTGCCTACACCACTAAAATCAGAAGATTATGTGAAGCAAAATGGCTTACAACACTAAAACCATCAAAACCTTTCTTCGAAATTAAAGAAAGACTTTGTCTGCCACATGAAGGACAACAAGAAGAGGAATAATCAAGAATGCATGTACACAGTAGGTATAATGCAGTTTGACACCACTCTAAATGCCCTATCTCATTGCTATGGAATCACAGGAGTTGTAGTTTTGTGAGGCATCAGCATTCTTTGGCAAAGAATAATAATCACTTTATTTATATTAAACCAGAATAATAATTATGTTATGCAACAATACAGTACTTCTCTTAGAGACATATATGCAATGGCTAAAATCAGCACATCACCGATGACACTGAGTGGACCAGACAAACTCATCAAGGATAAACATGGAAGAAAAATAAAAACATAACTCCTGTGATGTCTGAAGACAGTTCCAGAAACATGTGGCTATAGTGATAGGAAAGAAATCAGTATCAATATTATGTTGCATTTTCCCCAAACACTGTGATCTAAAATTGAGAAGAAAACCCGTTTTCCAATTCTAAATGTGGCCTTTGTATACCAAAAAGGCCGCAATACTAAGTTTTCCTACACCCTGGGCATATTTGGCAAGCTGTGAGTAAATGACAAATATGAAAGGACATGGTGCTCTCTGCAGCATTTTGCAAGCAATATATATTTCTTCATTCAAGGCTAAAGTTATGACATGTCACGGTAAACTAACAATAAATGAAGTTGTATGCACATGGTCCCCCTTTTGATTTTAGAACTAAAAGCAGCATGGAAACATATTTGGGGCTGGTTTCAAGTAGAAACACTGAGTGGAGAAGTAAATATTTAAGCATTTGCCTTTTTGATCACCTCAGAACTGTTCCCGGTACAAGAATGGACAAAAGGAGAAAGATACATACAACATCCATTCTGACAAAGTGAAGTAATACAGTCAATTATCAGACCATTTTGAAATAACCTGCATTCAAAGACTGTTTTTATTTTCAACAAGTTTACTAACTGAAAGAATAACATTTCAGATCTATGCAAAGATTTTAAATATAAATTCTTACTGTAATGAGGTCATCCCCTTTAACCATTCTTCCTTTGTAAAGAATCCCATGCTTTCAGCCTCCAGTTTCCAGGCTAAAACTAGCATAATAATCTGTACAAGAAGACCAAAGAAAAATATGAAAGTCAGTACCATCCACCCATCAACACTTGGTCTATTTAATGATTTTTGAATGACAATGGAAAGTTATAATAATTTTAATTACAATTTTAAATTAGCAGAATTTCTGCTTTAACTTTATGAACAAGGTTTGGATGAGACACATGTCTGAAATGAAGATGCTCAATACAGAGGCATTTGGATAGTTTCCAAATCAGAAGTGCTTTGGATATAAAGCAAAGTTAGCAGTTTCCAAGGCTTTAGATACAAGATGGTGAGCGCTTTTCGTCCTAATTTGTTATATTGTATTTGTGAAATTCACAGTCACCTGGTATGTACTTAACAGAAGTCTTGTAGAAGGATCAGGGAGAAGTATGTGAAGTTTTACTATCTGATATTTCCACGTTCTAATCAGGGAATGATTTTCTAAGAGTTCTAAGAATCTATCCAACTTTCAGTGTATTTTCTTCTTTGTAGGGTACTATAGATAATCTAAGTTCCCCGAGAGACCACAGAGAAAATAAGGGCATCTCTTTTAAAAATACTTCACCCCTTATAAACAGATGGCTCAAACTCCTCTGCCTCTACTTGCCTGAAATATGATAAACTGCATTTCCTGAGGCAACTATCATCACTGAATGTTTTATTAAATTAAGCAGAAAAAAATTGTTGCTGTGTTCAGATTTTCCCACTGTAGGCAAATGAGGAACACAGACCTCAAAAAAGACAAAGTGTTCATTTCAGATAAAAGGAAAGGGAAAATATATAGGAAATAGATATTACGAGAATAATTTGAAAATCTGATTTTACCTATTTTCAGAAAATAACAAAACTTACATTTTCAGGTTCGACTCCAATATCTTCACAGAATTTCTCCATTCCCTCAGGTCCAACTACTTCATCCTCACCTTCAAAACAAAGAAAGCAGGCTTAAAATAATACATTTCTCACCAATGACCAGACCACATATTTGGCCTTGAAATATGTATTGAAAAAATATACAAATACATAGAAGAAGGAATGGACTAAAGGTGGAAGACTACACTCAGGAAGTTTTCTTTTCTGGTGGTTAATTGCAAAAGCTACAATAACAGAAACAGAAAATCTCTATGTTGTTCTGAATAGTTTTATCAGATACATTTGCATAAATAATATTAACTTCCAAATAAACACAAAAGAAAATGAAAATTAGAAACAGTACTCATGTTCAGCTAAGGAGAATATGAAGCATTTCTCCCAACTGGAGAATTATACATTTTATTCCACAAAAAGGAAATTGGATGTAAAGGCATGTCAACTTTTCTGAACCACTAGTTTATAGCTGGCTCCAGTTCATGGATCTTGGTATTCTTCTGAAAAATAAATAGACTAAAGTCCGCTGAAGTTCTTGTTCTCTATTTGCACCCTTCTTTACACCATTCTTGAGATCTTGAGAACTGTTCTTATGCAATACAGGAGGTGAGTGCCACAAGACAAACATCCAGCAGTTAAACTTCACAGCACTATCTTCCACTGTCATAAGGGTAAAAAAAGTTTGCTTGATTTCAAGGAGAGCTTTCCAAACTGTCACAACATATCAATGTGTCAGCTGCAGTGTGTAGGTGCATCCCACAAATGTAACAAGAAATGACCAAAATATTGGAAACATGTTATTATCTCACAGATCGTATGTTTTTAAAAATATAAATGAAAGGTTTTCATGAGATATGTTGTGTCCTTGAAATATCAGTATTTATATTTTAAATGTAACTTCTGTAGTTTGATGTATAAATTGCATGTATAAGGAGGGGAGGGTGGGAGTGGGATAAAACAACAAAATAACAAGAAAAAAAAGGGGGGAGGAGAGAAAAAAGAGATGTTGTGCCCACATACATTTCATTATTACAATTTCTGTATGTGTCCATTTAACCTCTGGTTTGCTAGTAAAACCGAATTACAGTGTTGCAAAATTCATTTAAGTTAGGATCCCCATTAAAGTGAAAAAACGTGAATAAAGAAATTGCTTTTTTTTAACCTGAGGGAAGACTGCTCTAGGAATTTCTTCATTTTCCAGCATGACTTTATGGTAAACTTCCAGTGGAAGCTGGTCATAGAATCACACTGGAGGATTTAGAGCAGGCCTGGACAACCTGCAGGCTTCCAGTTCCCAGAAGCCCTAGACAGCTTGTCCAATGGCCAGGAATTCTGGGAGCTGAAGTACAAAACACCAGAGCCATGCTGACAAGACTTTAATAACACAGTCCCTTTCTACTGACTGCTCATTCACTCTTTTCTTCTTTTGTGGGATAATGTATGTAAGTCCTTACAGTCAACTAAAAATACTTCATAACCTCAGCAGCTGGCACTTCTCTTCCTCTTTGCTGTTCTTTATAAAGGCTTACTTGGAAGTTCAAGTACCTGGGCATTTACCTGATCCAACACAAGAAACATCAGGTGCTGAATAGACAAGCCAATATATTGGGGAATAAGTTATCATTCCATCAGTACTTGTTTGAGAAGTTATCTTTTGAGATTAAAAGTAGTTTTTAAAACATTTTACACTGTAGGTGAGCATTCCCACAGTATACTTAAAACATCAGGCAAACTAGTTCTTAAGAAAAAACACAAAATACTATTTGTTATTAGTAAATTGAAAGAGTCACCTCTGGCTGAGAAAGGCAGTAAACAAATGGGGTAAATAAATAAATAAATAAAACTAGAAGTTAATCTTGCATCAGTTGCATACCTGTATATTCATAAAACCACGCCAGGCACTTCTTCCTTGAAAAATGCTCCTCACCACTTATCACTTTACTAGAAGCTTGTGACCTGCAGTAGCTTGTGAAGACATAAGATACTTTTTATTACATTATCATCATTTTGAAAAAACCACCCCATAAGGAATTACCAAACAAGAGAATCCCCTTTCCTAAAAACTGAGAAGTTAAAATGAATTTGCAGAGTCCTAATCACCTGCCCTTTTCAAACACTCACAATGATTTATAAAAGTATTATTGTTGTAATGTTTCCACAATTAATGAACCAAAAAGGAACATAACAGACACAGATTGTTTTTATTCTGACAGCCAAACTGAAAAAGTCTGCAAGTCTGTAGAAAGTCTGCAAGCCTGTAGTTAGGGATGGCATTGTATGTTCTCATTCAGAAATTAAATCTGCAACAAATGCACTTCACAGAAAGACCAAGTATTTTACAAAGTCCAATTCTACAATCACGGCAATTTAAACAAAGCCTTAGTAGGTCAGATGTTTCCTATGAGTACTGAGTATCTGCATACAGGAATAACAACTGCTACGGCAGATGCTGATGTTCTTTTCATCTATGTGGACCATGAGACACGCCTACTCACCTACACACACTTACCACTTATGCGCAAACTCAGCCTACAGCTAGAGCAGCATTAGACAAAATAATTTAATGGCATACCATACAGAACAAATTATACATAACATGATAAGCAGGGAATAAAAGGAAATATTTAGTTCTTGAATAAGCCTTTTATCTCTTTTCTTTTTCTGATTTGGTAGCAAACACTTTTCTGTCAGAGAGAAAAGCCAGAACTGAATATTTGGCTGATGATGGGACTCTGCTCTAATGAGACAACAGGCTAGAATGTTATGATGGCACCCAGGAAGAAAACCATAACAATCCAAAATGGGGCATCTTAGATTATTGGAATGCTCTCATCTGTACTTTAAAATGTTATGTACACTGACAGTGCTATAAAATTAAGATGCAGTTGAGGTATCTATTAATCATAAAAGCTTATATCTACCAAAATGATTTATCAGTCATTTTTCAGCTGTACCTCAGTTTTACCACATATAATATTGTCAGTCCTGCTAGCGAAATATGTCCCTTGGAAAGCTAGAAGGCATGGGCAGTGGAACTTGAGGAAGGTGGCTGCTCAATCCCCAGCCACAGAAGGTGATGGAGAGAGTGAGTGTGAGAGAAGGGTTCTCTGGAATGCAATTTAATTTCAATTTTATGTCATTACATCACAACATTCCTGATCCTTAACATTCATCCCACTACTTCTGTGCTACCATTCTACAATGTAAGTACTGCTGTTATATCAAATGGGTGCTATGTCTCGTCTTTAGTTGAAAAAGATTTTGTTTAACTGCCTGAAGCAAATTTTAACAACTAAATTAAAAAACAATAGGTAAACAGCAATCTACCTGTCCAGGCACATGTATTATTGATGTGTGAAAATGTTTAGACAGTTCTCAGTGATGGGTTCTAATGGAAATTATGTTTTATTAACACCACTGCTCTTGATATCTGTGGAAGAGACAGGTTCTTACCTCATGTGAAACAAAACATGCTTTTCCAAACTTGCTTAACATGCCAATGAGAAACTCATGTTCTAACATGCAAGTCTGTGCCAGCAATACCATTAAATACATATTTTTTACACTGAAGAAATTGACAAAAACTTATTTTGTCCAAAGGTGGGAAGGATAACCAGGATTACTGCCACAATTGATAAAATTAATAGTTGTTCATTTGTCTGACATAAAAAGCCATTTCATCAAGGTTTCCAGAACCACATGAAATAAATGTAGCATGAGAAGCAAGGTAGCTTGAAAGGTTACATAACCTCATTCTTCAGAGGATTTCAACAGAAGATAAGCCAACACCTGTTTATTAAATGCTGATTTGTTGAAGTAGTTGGACCTACAGAGTCCCCTGAGTCCCCTTTGGGGTGAGAAGGGTGGGGTAGAAGTAAACCAAATAAAAATAAATAAATGTTACTCTTGTGAGAAATTACTTCTGTATAAGTATATCTGTCTTGTATTCAACTGAATTGTATTCAATGGTCCTTGCATTGTAATGGTCAATAGTATTCAATGGTCCTTGCTCCCAAATAAATGGCTCAGTTTTACAGCCCTAAAGAACAGATGGAAAGAGAACCGGATGTTCCTAACCTCAATGTAGTAACAAGGTAGATTAGTGGAACAGCAGTTGAGACTGATAACCGGTGCTTTTTTAATAGGACTTTTTTGGAATGTGCTAAAAGCACAACGATCAACATGTATTTTGGTGTAAGAATTTGTTTTAAAGGAGATCTTTTTTTTATTACAGACAAATATATGTAAAAGGTTGTCTTTCAAGTTATATATAACAAATGGTATTTGCATATAATGAAGCAAACAGACTATAATCGCTTATAAAGGAATGGCATGATCGCCAAAAGTCAACATGGTTTTTTCAAACACAAGTAATGCCAAACTAATCCACATTTTGGGGGGATAGAATTACAAGCTTGGTAGCTGAAGGGAATGCTATGGATGTAGCATATCTTGATTTTAGAAATATCTTTGATAAGGTCCCCCATCACATTTTTGCAAGCAAACTAGTAAGGTGTGGGATAGAAAATACTACTGTTAGGTAGATTTCTAATTGGTTGATCAGCTGAACACAAAAGGTGTGCAACAATGGCTCCTTTTCATCCCTGCAAATTTTAGTATCTCTGATCTGTACAGGAGAAATGCTATCCTCAACCTGCCAGCTACTTCTCCTCTCCAGTTAATTTTGTATACTGTAGAGGTTAAAGGATCAGTCCAGTTCAGTTTACTTTCCTGGACTTTACTTTTGGCTTTTATAAGTCTTGCTCTTCTCAAGTGAACCCAAAGAATATACATCCAGTGGCACACATTGGGGTCACAGGTGGTTTGCACAGCTGTCAGATTCTGGGTCCATGCACTGACAGGTAGAATATGAACAAATTATTGCATGGCTTGACATGAGTTTAGAGGGGAAAGGCCCAAGCTCAGTGTTAAAGCACATGATTTGCATACTAGAAGTTCTTAATGATCAGGGAAAGAACCTCTATCTGAAACTCTGGTGAGATAATAAGTTATAGTATATAGTAAAGTTGGCAAAGTGACTATGCAGAAATGCCTGTAATGAGACCAACATGCTGCACTTGTATTGTTTTATGGTTTTAAAGTATGAGGGCTTTTCATATGCTAATATATTTAATTATACTTTAATTTTAATTATTATTATTTTTTAATTAGTAACTTTAATTTATATTATGAGCTGCCTAGTTTCTACTCATGAGGAAGGCAGAACATAATAATAATAATAATAATAATAATAATAATAATAATAATAATAATAAAAAGATGGATTTATATTCCAACTCCCCACAAGGCAATTCGTTTTCTATGAGGTCTCCAGATGTAATTCGCATGGACATATATGGCTTTGATTATAAATTTCTCAAGTAACAAGGCACATTCCTTGGTATCACCATTAACAATCAACTGAATATCACATCTTTCACCTGGCACAAGAAATTGTAACAGTTGATCAGAAGGTATTGCAACATTATATATTTCTTATGCAGAACTATCTGAGTATTTACCATTTTTCAGAGGTCAAGTGAAGCTTGAGTGGGGAGAATTTCTCTGACCTAAATAATTTATAATCTAATTTTATTAATCCTAATAAGACTTTCTTCATACAATTCTGGATAATCACATGTGCTTAATATGCTTTTCATTTTAACACACAGTAAGAGTAGGAAATTTGTGATAGCCCCCATGTTGTTGGATTCTAACTCCCATAATTGGTTATGCTGTCTGAGTCACACACAACAAAAAAAGTCAGTGATAGAGTTCCATCCTTAAACTATAGCTCTTACTTAACAAGCATGACTAATATTTTATAGCCTTGTATATTTTGGTTATATATATGTATCTGTCAGTTTAACTTTACATTATATTACTTTTTATGTTTTGTTTGGATGATTAGCAATTTAATTGTATAGTTTGTATTTTGATTACTATTCCTTCCCTGTGAGTGCAAATATATTTTAGGTTGTACGCTTTTGATGAGGCCCACTTTTTTAAAAAAAATGCTGTTATTATTTTAACATTTATTCCTATCCTGCCATTTCCTGCTACTGGGACTGAAAGCAGCCTTTGTGTATTTATAGGTGCCTTCAGGATGGCTACTGAATTATGGTTACCCCATGAATTTCATAGGGCATTCTTAGGCAAAGAACACCGAGAGTTACTTTTACCAGTTCCCTACTCTCAAATCTACTTACAACATACAACATACACTAGCACAATTGGCAATATCCAGCACATTATGTGAAATTTGTCTTATTTAGTTACTCATTAAATTACTGCCAGAATAGAAAAGAAAACAGGGAGGATGCCACTCTAATTTCCTTGGGAAGGGAGTCCCAGAGCCTGAGGGTAGCAACTCAGAAGGCCCTCTCCCATTCTCCCATCAGCTGTATCTGTGAGAATGTACCTGTTTCACTTGTAAATTAGTGTTTACATTAATGTTGCTATACAGGTTATCCCTTCTCAAAATTGCTTGAAACCACAAGTGTTTTGGTTTCAGATTTTTTTTTCCAGATTTCAGAATAACTGCATTTACATTTATGTATACTGAGGGTGAATCTCCACTGTAGTATTAGCACATTTGAGACAACTTTAACTGTGATGGCTCAAAGCTATAGGTCCTCAAATTTCTTGTTTGGTGACTGACCAGTATTCCTTCACAGAAAAGTTGAAAGATCTTACAAAACTATAGCATTGAGTCACCAAATGATGTTAACTTGCATTAGGTTCTTGTGGGTTTTTTCGGGCTATAGGGCCATGTTATAGCCCGAAAAAACCCACAAGAACCTAGTGATTCCAGCCATGAAAGCCTTCGACAATACATTAACTTGCATTGATTTTACAGTGTGGGTGCATACAATGATATCTTGGAGAGGAGATAGGACCTAAGTCTATATACCTGATACGCATAGCCTGAAGGTAATTTTAAATAATTTTGTGCATGAAGCTTA